TAAGTAAATGATGACAGAATTTTCCATTTTGGGTGAAGTATTCCTTTAAATCTGGCAAGGTTTCCAGTCCTCATCCCTCAAAATTTCTCCTCTTTGTGTTCCATAGAAAAAGTAAGTCATACGGGTTTGGAATGACACGAGTGTTAGCAAATGACCAAATTTTCAGTTTTAAGTGAACTATCCCTTTAAAGCTGTGGTTCTGTGTGACCTGCAGTAAAATGCAAGAGAAAAGTCGAACTGCAGTTCTGATCTCCGTTATGAAGACTCTTGGAATGCATTATTTAAGACATTCTGATTTATTTAATTTTCCCTATGTATAGATGAGTGAGATGGCTGCTTGTGTGCTCCACAGTATCCCAACACACAAGCACTGGATCCGACGACAGACTTGTTCAATTTCATTTTTGTCAGTGCCAGTTCAAACATGTTCTGTTGGCTCATAATAAATTAGATTAAATTCAAGTCCAAACCAAAGTCCTTATGAATCAGAATCAGAAAGAGCTTTATTGCCAAGTGTGGAATTCATTGCCAAGTGTGGAATTCCACACACAAGGAATTCATCTTGGTGACAGAAGCTTCCAGTGCAGAAAGCAAGTTGAATCAAGTTGCTTTATGTGCATACGCATAGAGAGTGATGATTTTTGATGTGATGAGCCAGTTATATGATTATTAGATTTGCTTTGCTAGAGCTATACACTATAAACTGTAGAAGCCGCGTCTATTAAACTAAAAATATATTGTTTACACAGATTCACAGAGGTGGTATAAATGTATTTACATGGATTCACAATTTTTTTTGCATGTTAGTTATGCCAGTAAAATAATTTACTCAAAGGATTTGTTCAAGCAAGGCCAAGTGACTTGTGTTTATGATTGAGTCACTGAATCATTCACTCAAACAATTCATTCAAAAACACTGATTCATTCTGGAACAAAACAAGTGAGTATCTTTATGAGTGAGTGAGTGAATGAATCATTCACACAGTCGATTTTTTCAAAGTCACTGATTCATTTAGGACAAAACAAGTGGCTTTATTTATGAGTGAGTCATTGACTAACTGACTCAAACCATTCATTCAAAAACATCTATTCATTCAAGAAAGGCCAAGTGGCTGTGTTTATGAGTGAGTTCTTTCATACAGCCGATTTGTTAAAAAAAAAAAAAACACTGATTCATCCTGGAACAAAATAAATAAGTGAGTGAATCAGTGAATCATTCACAGAGTCAATTTGTTCAAACACACTGATTCAGTCAGAAACAAAACAAGTTACTGATTTATTTAGGAACACCACTATGAAGCTTGTCTGGAACTATTTTTGTTTGTGGAGCACAAATAGAAAAAAAAACTGGCAATATTGTTTCTTAAAGTTAAGTTACTTAATATTAACTTCTTGGTTAATGAACTATTGTATAAAATGAATTAAAGAAAATTAATTAATTAATTTAATGAATTAATAAAAATTGTTAACATTTTATTTAAGGGACAGAATTGGCATTTTAAGCAACACTTAACCAGAATAACAATGGATTTGTGCTTTTGTGAATTCTGTAATGAGAAATCATCTAAATTAAATGCACAATGGTGTATCGCATTATCAGCAGTCATAGATAATTACCCTTCTTTAATGTCACAGAGCTCATTATCAACGTCTTTAATTGGATTGGTCAGGAATGTGTGAATGGCCAGGTCTTTCTGTTCTGTAGCTTCTGTGTGTTCAGCAAGTTGCAAGAAACACTGTGATCGTTCCAGTCTCTGGAGGCAGGTCTCCATATGCTCTTTTTAATTGCGCTGAAACAACTGCATTGATGTGAAGTGTACTTACAGATGTGTTTTCAATAGCATATGAACAGCTGTTCTGCTCTAGGTTTTACAACTTGTCCATTTTACCTCAGCTGTTTCCAAAGCACTGCACTTCGGTACCTTAATGAGTCTCTTATTTAATGCTCTGATCTGGCATCTGACAGCGGAAGGGTCGTTGCATATTCCTCCAGAATCCCTCTGGAGGTTCCTGCAGATGACAAGAGATGCTTTTTTTCTGTTCTGAATATGTAAACAAGAGCTGCATCAGGTGTAATTAAATCCCATTTTCTTGATTTGCATATAATTGAGCTCAAGGCCAAAAATGGATTTCACAGAGACTTGCAGACAGGCTTTGGAACATTTGCAAAATCGATACCGGTGTGGTCGACAGCACCCACCTGTAAACAACAGCTTTGATGCGGCTCGCTGGGAAGGGACGGGCACGTTAGGTGCGATGATTCATCCTGCGGAGAACTGAAGATGCGCCGAATGCTGTGTCACTCCGCTGGCAGGTGTTCAAAGCCCGCCGCAACCTCGGGGTGCAATCACATGTGCGAATTTGTGTGTTTGTGAGAGTGGAAACCCCTGCCCTGAAATCAAAACTCTTTGCTTAATTTCTCGAATGTCTCGCTTTTGTCTGACAGGGCGCAGGGAACAGCCATGCGAGACGCGTCTCATAGAACGGTTGCGGGGAGCAGCAGAGCCTTCACTGAAACGCAGATGGAGCAGCTTGATTAAAAATTAATAGCAGAGGATGGTTGCATGGGGAGAAAATGAGCGCAGCTTTTGGCCTGTCAGAAAGAAATCTGTCCTCTGCTGGCACTGCTCAGCACGAGGGCCTCCGTTTTTACCATCGCCTCACATCCTCAAGTGCCTCTCTTTAGTTCTAATTGAAACACGAATTGTGCTTCCTTTAAAGAGGCCTCAGAAGAATTGAAATGTGGAATTAAGAAGCACTGAGTCCAGCAGTGAATCAACAAGTAATGTTACCGTTTAGATGCAAAAAAGGTCATGCACTATACAGAATTGATAATGTCTTTTAAATTGCAATTCCATTCAAACAGGTGCAGAAATGGAATTTAAATGTAAGAAAGTATAATTAAAATGACTTGAAATTCAAAGAAATTCATGTAATTGTAAGTTTTAACTAGAAAAGCAAAGCTTGTTGATATACTTGGAATGTTAGTTTAAAAAGTTGTAAAAGCATTGAAGTTTCAGGGTTGGTTGGATGGATGGATGATAGATAGGTAGGTAGGTAGGTAGGTAGGTAGATAGATAGATAGATAGATAGATAGATAGATAGATAGATAGATAGATAGATGTTCACGTTCACTTTTTGATATATCTCTAAGAAATTATTGTTACTTGGGTTGAGTGAGTCTCTTGAGATTTAATTAAAGGCCTGAATGTAATTATGTAAATTTAGAGGAAACCCACAGTTTAACCATAACTATGGTACTTACATTTCAAAGATTTCTGTTTGATGTCAGAGCATGTTAAATTTTATGCCTGAAGATATGTACATTTTCATTCCAATAGCCAAAAGACATTCTCCCAAATTTGACTCCTTTCAGTGAAAACTATTAAGCTGTGTTATATAGACAATACAGAAAGAACAAAATTATGTAAACTGATAAACATGTGACAAGTGCATCTTTTCAGATGCTTAATTTGAATGCTTCAAATTTTTTAGTCATTCTAACATCTTTTTGGTAATTTGTGTAGAAAGAATTTAAATTTTTGCTTTTGGTGTGTGTAAAGGCCCTGGGTTGTTTTTGTTGGTCCACACATACAGTATATCTACTAGGATGTTAGGAAGCATTTGAATAAAAGTAGCCTTGTTTATTTATTTCTTTTTCTTTCACATATAAACGCATCGTTTTTCCCCCAGGGACCTTTTGTAAATGCAAGAGAACTGTTTTTCTGTTCATATTTCAACAATTAAAAAAAGCTATTTCATCACAATATAGTAGATATTTGGTGCTTAGACAACATTGTTTGCCCATCAAGGCCGTGGAAATGAAATGATGAATGGTCGAGGGGCTTGTGTTTGATTTTGTTGTGTGGACTCAGACGAATGTCAGATCTGCTGTGGAGCAGCTCCTCCCTGCAGGGCTTTCAGACAGCAGTTTTGGGAGTGATCAATGGCTTCCCAAAAACAGATCAAACCGGCTTTGTGTCAACAACACTGGCAGCTATATGAAGTCACCCTGAGATGTTATTGCCTCCATATCCAACTCATACATATGATTTATAGCAATCATTCTCTATATATATATACATATATCGGATCTCCACACAACAAAATAAAACACAAGCCCCTCGATCTTTTATCATTTCATTTCCACGGCCTTGATGGGCCAACAATGTTGTCTAAGCACTAAAAAGTTGGGTCTCGTATCAGATTATCTGGAGCTGTTTGAAGCCCTGACCAGGTGAAGATAATAATACGCACATTAGTTTTTACATGAAGAACAGCACAGCCAGCCTTCTGTCTTTAACACGGCTGCTCTGATATATTGCACCTCCGTGCAACATTTCTGGGTCCCTGGGTCGAAACAGAAATGACCTTTGAGTGCAAATGGCCTATCCATTTAGTCAGCGCGGAGACCATTAGAAGGGTGTTGGTGCTTAATAGAGCCTGATGATGCGCTCGGCTGCCGCTGGAATGGCACCACAACAGTCCCCCTCCATTCACAGCCATCATAACCATCTCTGTCATTATGCCAATATCATTTGAACAAATGTTAGTCTATTCTGTAGGACTGGAGGGAGGCAGATAGACTGCTGCTTCTCACCCGGGCTATCGTGTAACTTTAGATTCTCAAAGTGTGAGGCACATTTCACATGCTAATGGGTGTTTCTTAAAGGTGTAGGAGCCAATAGACATTTTAATTCGGAGACAGAGAAAGGGTGGTCATTAAAAATTATATATATATGGGGACATATCCCTTGGCTTCGTGTGGACGTAGCCTAAATCAGACCCATTGCCACAGGTGTATAAAATCAAGCATCTAGCCATGCAGTCTGCATTTACAAACATTTGTGGAAAAATGGTTCGTTCTGAAGAGTTCAGTGAATTCAAACATGGTGCTTGTGATAGGATGTCTTTGCAATAAGTCAGTTTGTGAAATTTGATCCCCGCTAGATATTCCACGGTCAGCTGTAAGTGATATTATTTGAAAGTGGAAACGTTTAGGAACAGCAGCTACTTAGTCACGAAGCGGGAGACGCGTAAAGTCACAGAGCTGGGTTACCAAGTGCTGAGACACATGTTGCATTAAAATTCGCCAAACACTCTGCTGATTCCATAGCTGGAGTTCCAAGCTTCCACTGGCATTAATATCAGCACAAAACTGTGTAGCGGAAGCTTCATGAATTGGATTTTCATGGCCAAGCAGCTGCATGCAAGCCTCACATCACCATGTACAATTCCAAATGTCGGATGGCGTGGTGTAAAGCACTGGACTCTGGAGCAGTGTAAACCTGTTTTGGTGTGACGAATCAACACTCCTTTGTGTGGCTTCTCTGTTCTCTGTAAAAACATGGTTGAATTAGTTTGGTGTGAATGAACTTGACTGATCCGCTCATCCCCATCAAATACCTTTGGGATGAACTGGAATGGAGATTGCGAGTCACTCCTCACAAATGCTCTACTGGATGAATGGGCAAAAATTCCCACAGAGACATTCCAAAATCTAGAAAGCCTTCCCAGAAGAATGGAAGCTGTTTAAGCTCTAATATTAATGTCTATGTATTTAGAATGCAATGTCATTAAAGTACCTGTTGGTGTAATGGTCAAGTGTCATGGTGTATGTATAAGTCTTATATATATATATATGAATATTATATATATATGAATATGTGTGTGTGTATGTATAAGTCTTAGTTGAAGTACTAAAATTACTAAAACTAAAACTGAAATAAAAATAAATTAAAGCTGAATAAAAATATTTTTTTTAAATCAAAAGCTAATAAAAATAACAAAATCACATGAATGAAAACCTAAACTAAAATTCAAATGAAAACTGAAAAAATAAAAATTAAAGCTAATTTGCAATATTAATAAACATTATAGTAGTACATAAAAATACTGAAGCAACACTGATAGTAATTAGCATAAATGTTGATAATAATAAATGCACAATTTATAAATGTTTTTTTTTATTTATAGTCTACAATCAATTTTTAATACACTTTTATTTTATTTCTGGTCTTATCATGCGTGATTTATTCAGTGCAAGGTATGTTTTATGTATTTTTTTTTTATTTTTTTTTTTTACTTTTTTCTAGTGTTTTGACAACTTACTTTTGGATGATATCATGAATTCCTCTTGCTTTTCAACCACTACCCTTCCCACCTGACTCTTTTTGATACGTAATGGCAAATTTTCATTATCCAGTCAATTTCTGATTAATAAAACCAAGGCCCATCCTACATGTCTTCTCTCTGAATATCTCGTTTCATTCTAAAAGTTACCAATTATGCAAATGAAATGGGTTGTGAATGGCTTCACGCTGACTTTAAAACAATATCTCAGTGTCAGTGTTTATGTTAATAATTGTTATAACCCGTAGCTCTTTTTTTTAATATCTAATGGCTGTTGAACATCTGTTAGGCACAGTATGATGCTTTTTAAGCAACACATTCTGTTAATTTCTGTTAATAGCTCAATTTTATTCACCTAACACCCTACCGAAACATGCGCTGCAGTTCACAACAGCTGAAGACCAGCAGCAAGCTATGATTAGACCTAGCAAAACTCTGCTGTATTGATTTTCTGTCCTGGAGGTGCAATGCACATGCCAGTGAACGGGCTACAAAGGGAATTAATTTGTAGGTAAGCACATTAGTTTCCTGTCAAACGCTTCTCCTCCTCTCTGTGAAAACTGGGTGGAATATTAAGAGCAGAACTTACTAGAATCTGGGTCTCCAATTGAGATATTGATCTCAGGAAAGTAGACCAGAGTCCTTCAAGCCGGTCTAAGCTAAGAAAGAGATGTTATGTCTCTAGCAGGCCTGCCCCTCAAAGAGAGAAGATTCAGAAGCAAACTTGCATTGCATTGGTTCCCATAAAACTTTGCTATGAATGTTACTGTGGAACCTTAAATTTTAGAGAAAGAAGTTTGAAAACAAAAAGCTCAGTCACAGGTGGGGGAAAATTTATGATTGGTTGATGGTTTCACTAGTATCAAGACTATTCTGAACTATGAAGGCAGGGAAAATTTATATGGAAAAATAAATACATTTCACACTTTTAAGAGCCCTCATCACTCCCAAGAAAATTCTGTAAAAATAGGGCCCAATGGTAATATGCAGGAATTGTAGTGTATTGATATTTTATCATATTTTTCATGTTGAGTTTTCACTGGTGTTTTACCCATATTATGGATTGCACAATGAATTGTGTGTGTTTTAGCGTTATAGGAAATGTCCGTAAACTTAACAGGCAGAAAAGTACCAGTACCCTTTCTGTTTTTCTACTGATTTCTTCTCACATTGAAAAACAAATGAGTAAACTTGTATAATCTACTGTAAAATAATGGGGGGGAAAGTATTTATTAAGTGTTGTGGAAAAAGTCGGGGTGTGCTTATTTTTTTTCCCACAGAACAACTGAATTTCTGTTTTAATTTTGTTCACATATATTTATTTATATATATATATATATACGGGGTGTGTTTATTTTTTTTCCCACAGAACAAATGAATTTCTGTTTTAATTTTGTTCACATATATTTATATATATATATATATATATATATATATATATATATATATATAAGCACTATAAGTTATATGTACATACATACACACATCCATCATTACTGTCTAAATAAAGTTTTATTTTATTTTATTTTATTCTTTTTTGGAAAATTTCCTGTGAAAAATGTGCCATGGCCATTCTGAGTGGTTGCCAGGGTGTAGCTATGTCGTTGCTAAGAGGTTTTGAGCGTTTTTAGCATGTTGCTGGCACACCTCTCCTCAGTAAGTTACATGATTTGAGGTTTCATTAATGTCTGTAGCAGAAGCTGATTGCCCAAACACTCTTTCCGCCTTCTGTATATTCAAATAAATCTCATCTGCACATTTCTCCATTAACTTCATCTAAATCTCTTTTTCAGGCATGAAACGAATCCATGCACTTACCATTCAAGCCAACTATGAGCTGAGGATTGACCTGGAGGACTTCGAGAACAGTACCTCCTTTGCAAAGTATGGCTCTTTTGGAGTGGGTTTGTTCTCTGTTGACCCCGACGAGGATGGCTACCCACTGAGCATCGCAGACTACTCTGGCACAGCAGGTATGCTATATACATTATTCTGCCTTTTACCGAGAGTTCCTGCAGTGTGGAGCCAAAAACTATTACATTTATTGCAAAGGCAGAGGTCTCACAGGAAGTCATAGGTCATAGTGTCCTGCTTTTAAAGCTCTGTATTCTTAAGACATCCTGCACAACAGCAATTCAATCGTGAACCTGCATTGATGTCTGGAGCCAAAGTTCATGTCAGGTTTAATGGGGAGCCTCAAGTAAACGCTGGTAAAAGCTCTTCGGTTGATATGTAGTCTCGCCTAGACAGACTTTTGACAGATTATTCTGGCCAAGAACATCCACTTTAGACCATAAGAGACAATTTAATTGACATTTTTTGTGTCCAGTTTCATTACAATTTTTTTTTTTCCCCATTTAGGGGCATAAATCAGAAATATCACCACCAGTCTCTTGCAAGAAAAATAAAATAAAATAAAAATATTAAAACAATTTATGATGAAAATTAATGTCAACGTAAAAGTAATATGTAGTGATTATTTCACCAGCAAATATAAGGCGATTAAAACTGCCTTAAAACTGTGCATGCCTGTAAGTATTTGTTATATAGGAGTCAGATTTGTGAGAAAATTTTTAGTCAGAGTTGTGAGAGAATACGATGCGTGTCAGATCTGCATCATGTTCAGCAGCGGCAGCTCTGAAAGCAGCCAGAATAACCTAATAACCCAGCTGCTGTGATGTCTGTAAATCAACGATTTCTTCTCACATTGAAAAACAAATGAGTAAACTTGTATAATCTACTGTAAAATAATGGGGGGGAAAGTATTTATTAAGTGTTGTGGAAAAAGTCGGGGTGTGCTTATTTTTTTTCCCACAGAACAACTGAATTTCTGTTTTAATTTTGTTCACATATATTTATTTATATATATATATATATATATATATATAATTTCTGTATATTTCCTACTTGCTGAAGGGCACAGGTAAATATGACATTTATTATAATGGGTTTATGTGAAGATTGATTTAAGTTCACTTAAATTAGAAGTTGTTATTTTTTTAAATCTAATAAATGTTAAAATTGATAGATCTCAATTATACTGTAATGTTAAAGCTGTTGTTCACTGACAAGCTGCGCAAAATATGATCGTAGTTTTGCGCAGCTTGTCAGTGAACAACGGCTCTGTGTAGTAAATGCTGCTCTATGTGAAAGCACGCACATAATGGAGATTTACCGCTGATTACAGAACCAGCTTTACTGACAAGATGCGCATTAAATATCACAAATGCGATTTATCGTGCAGCCCTAGTAAACAGGTTTGTTTTTATGCATAGTTAATAGATTACATTATTAGGTTACTTTGACCATCATAGATCAACATAATCTATAAAGGTGAGAATCAAGATATTTCATGATATAGTTAATGCATTTGGAGATGTTTCGAATAAAAAGGAAAAAATAAATAAAACATAAGTGCTGTTGTGGCTGTGTGTCACATGACGACCCCCTTCCTGCCCTGTTGTCAACGGTGTTTAGATATATTCCTGCTGCACGCAAAGCAATGGGGGCCGTAGGTTATCGCCTGCACCGAGGCGAAGTGATGAGCAATTCTCACTGCTTCACCTGCGCTGTCGCCGGGGCCTCTTTTTAACATTAATTGGGTCCTGCTCTCTATTATTCTCAGGTGTTTCTCCCCGAGCACTGCCCTCCTCGCTGGGGCCGGACACAGGCGTGACCTTCGCCGTGTGCCAGAAAGGGCAGGGATAATGAAGCCGTAGAATACATCTATGGCATTCCAATAAAGCAGACACTCGGCTTATTATGGGAGACGTAAACAAACCCTCCTATTAACATAAATCAAGAGGAGAATACTGCATTCACGTGTCTAATTAGCGAGGCTGTCTTAAACATCCCCCGCTGGAGGAGTCATGCCACATTGATTCCCAATCTTATCAATTACGTCTTGTTTGGACTCTTACGCCGCTGTCTGGATTAAAATGCACGCATGGTCGTATAAAGCATTAATGTGTACATGAATGGTAGGTTGGACTGACCGTAAGCATTAAAATCACATTTCGATTTTTCGTCTGAGCTGTGCTTGCTCAAGTATGAAACTTAGTTTTGAATGAAATGCTGAGAGAGATCAACATAGATTGAATGTTTTAGCACAATGAAATCAAAACAGCCATTTTTTCAAGAGTAGGCAGTAGTGTGGAACAAAACAGCAGCTGAGAAACAAAAGAAATAAAGACCAAAACACACTTCGCAGGCTCAAACCGTGGCTCCTAGAGGGCAACATTGTGAGGTGTCCTTGACACCTTTAATAACGGTTTGTCAGACAAATAGCACGTCCCTCCTCAGAGTCCAACCATCACAGAAATTAGAAAGGAAAAATTCTGTCACAAGGTCACTGGTAAAAGGCACATCGTGGCCATAGATCAGATGAAAACAATTGAATGTGGCAGGCAGCTTAAAATTCAACAAACAGCAGGATTTTAATATATTCTCACTTTATCTGATGCACTTTCTCTGAACACAAATTATCCATTTATCTGATAATAACAATAGAGTAAGAAAACTTGCTGATACAGCATTTTAATGTAGGTTTTAATGATTTTCAAGTGGTTTGGGACATAATCTGGTTTAAACTGACCATATTGTCCCAGCTTAAGGTGTTCAAGTTAGTTTGGAACACATTACTGGTACAAGGTGTTCTACCAGCTGAACCAGCTTGGTTCAGTTAACCATCTTGACCAACTTCGACCATAATATTTTTTAAACATTCAGTTCCTTTTAAATATGTAGCCTACTATTATCTAAAATGATAGATAGATAGATAGATAGATAGATAGATAGATAGATAGAACAGCTGTCGGAAAGTGTTTTAGCGATTGTGTGTTGATGCTGAAGTACCGATATGATATGACATTATTTCAATATGACAGTGCATCCCTGTGGAGATTTTGATGAGCCATACCCCAGAATCCTCTATTTTTCATGCATTACTGTGATGTTTTTTGCAGCTGAGATAAAAAAAAAAGAAGATCTTTTGGTGTAAATGTGTGCCTCACACACCCTTTTCTTGCATGCTAGAATTTTCATATCATAACTGCTTTCAGTGCACAAGCATGCTATCTTTAATGCTGATCTGTTTAATGAAAGGCCTTTACGATAGCGTAGAGAAAGAGCGCTCAGCCACAGCAGGGATCTCTGGGAAGATATAATTACCTGAGATGAGTTTTTACACCCATGATGCCCTGCTCTCTGTAAACACTTTGAGTGCTAATACAGTACCAACTTCAAAGCGCACTAATGACAGTTTTGCAAGCACACAGAAATGGTTTCACTACCATTAGCGAGGCCAGAGTAAGAAGTGAAATTGCATGTGAGCGTTTGATTATTTTGTAACAATGCTTGTCCAAGTAGAGGAGTGTATAATTTCTCTCTGATGTTGCAGTGTTTTTCGGCATTAACACAATTATGCATTCATGCGCATAGCTAATGACTCGTATCGCCCTCCTGTGTGGGTCTGTCTCAAGACATTTCATAAAAGTCTGAGATGCACCTTCATGCTGACACGCTACACACCCCCTCAGGTGTACAAATTGTGAGGTCTGTTTTGCACAGAATCTGCAATTTACGGCAATGATTAATCATCTCATTCTAGCAAGTGATTTTTTTTCAGTGTTGTTTGTATGATTGGGTGTTCTTTGAAATGTAACACTTTATGAATATTAAAACATATTACTATTGCAGAGGCAACTTGTTAAGATTTGTTCATATATATATATATATATATATATATATATATACTGCATATATATAGAGAGAGAGAGAGAGAGAAAGAGTAAAGTATATCCTTCAAGTAGCTTTCCCTGCTGAAAGAATGATTTTAAACCAGCCTGAGCTGGCTAGCTAGTTTGACGAGATAATGACTGTAAGTGAATTTTGATTTGATTAGATGACAGAATTCAAATTTTTGTGTGGACTATCTCGTTAAACCAGTTTAAGAAGGTTAGCAAGTCTCCAAAGCTCATTAGACTGGTCTGTTTTTATGTTTTTTTTCAAGTGGTTTGGGGCATTTTGCAGCCATCTTAAACCAGTTTAACCTCGTTTAAGCTGACCACAGTTTACTGACTTAAGGTGTTCTGGTTTGTTTTTGGATTATGATAGTTCGTTTGGAACTTGTTACTGTTCCAAAGTGTTCTACCAGCTCTAACGAGCTTGACCAACATGCTCCAGTTAATTATCTAAACCAGCTTTGACCTGCTGACTGTAAATGGCTAAAAGGGATAATCCACCCAAAAATGAAAATTTTGTCATTATTTACTCACCCTCATGTTGCTCCAAACCTGTATGACTTACTTTCTTCTGTGGAACTTAAGTCTTTTGAAGAAAATCTTTTGAAGAATGTTGGTAATACAATGAATGTCAATGGGAACCGAAACTGGTTACCAACATTCTTCAAAATAACCTTTTTTTGATTCCTGGGAAAAAAATAGTCATACAGGTTTAGAACAACATGAGGGTGAAGATCTTATAAGAATGTCCAAATCAAACAGTTTTGGTTCCTGTGGACTTCTATTTTATGGACACAAAATGCAACGGAAGTCAATGGGAACCAAAATCTTAGCCATGGTGGGAGACCATGTAGTACAGCTTAAACCAGCTCGAGACAGCCAAAGACCATAAATGACCTTCTTATACATGTTGAAAACCAGGTAAAGCCAGTAAAGCCAGCTCATGTGTCATTTTTCTGCAGGCAACATCTCCACATCTGTTCATTAGCTCTCCTTTCACAGTCCAGGCGCTGTCATTTTACACCACCATCATTCTGCTGATTCGTTATCTGCTAGACCACAATGATGAATCTATGAGGCAACTGAAACGAGTTTATGATGTGTAACACACTTTACAATATGACATAACGACATCAATTGGATCTCCTTTGTCCCAATAAAATGGCTATCACAATACATGTTGCAGTAGAGTAGAAATAGAGTGAGAGGAAGAGGACAGGAGAAGGGTTTTACTGCAAGGCTGGCAATAAAAGGCTGATCTTGTCAGCAAGGCTGGGCCCAGTGGAGCCGGGCGGCATGGAGGCAGGAAACTTGGATTAGATTAGCCTAGCTGCACACTGCAACATTATGTCCCTGAAACATACATCACAGAGCTCAGCTTAATAAGAGCACATTAGCGGCAGCGCATTAACATGCTCCTCTCTTTAGTTTCTGTCTCTCTCTCCTCATCACAATGTCAGTATGCAGCTATAAACATACCAAGGTGATTGTGAAATGTTTTGCTCCTCAATATATTTTTATTTGCAATGATATAGCAGTAATTTTCAACACTACCGTTTAAATGTTTGGGGTATGTTATGATCACCAAGGCTGCATTTATAGGTTCAAATATACAGTAAAAACAATAATATTGTGAAATATTATTACAATTTGAAACAACAGTTTTCTATTTGAACATATTTTAAAATGTGATTTATTCCTGTGATTCAAAGCAGAATTTTCAGCAGCCATTACTCCAATCTTTAGTATCACATAATCCTTCAGAAATCATTCTAATATGCTTATATGATTTGGTGCTCAACATTTCTTATTATTATCAGTGTTGAAACAGTTGTGCTGCTTAATGTTTTTGTGGAAACAGCAATTTATTTTTCAGGACTCTTATATAAAGATAAAAGATACAAAGTACAGCATTTAATTAAAATAATTTATTTGTATCAATGTAAAAGTCACTTTTGATCAATTTATTGAATCCTTTGAATATAACAAAGAGTGAAAAATTTAAGGGGGTCTGAATACTTTCCGTACCCACTGTATGAGCCTATAAGCAGTGTTTTAGCATCACTATTCTAAACAATTGGATTTTATGGATTTATGAAGGAAAAAAAAAAAAAATTCTCTTCAAACTTTTGAACAGTGTTGTATTAATAACACTATAAAAATAAATAAATAAATAAATAACTTTGTCTATAGTTTTCAAGCACAGGATTGTTTAAATCAATAAAGTTCAATAGAAACTAGCTTGCTTTCATTCTCTCGTTCACTTGATTATGAATTTTATTGCTTTGTTTTTCTTTTTTAGCCCTATATTGTAAAATACAAAAATATTTTGCAATCAATTTAGGAGGGAAAATTATTTTTAAAAAAAACACTTATACAATTAAATTAAAAATGTACATTTTTCCCCAATATTTGTGTATTTTTATATTTATCACACTTTGTTTTAAGGTTCCATTTGAGTTAGGATGATGCAAGGTAGCTCACTATGTTTTGGAACAAAACTTATTTTATTTGTTGAAACTGTGTAATGTTTTACTGCAGTAATCTAAACTTTCCATGACACGGATAAACAAAGACGTTGCGGTTGAGTGACTCACTTGTTCTTTTGTTTCTGTCTCTTTTTCTCGCCGTCCCCGTCTCTCACATGCTCACTCTTCCACCCTTCTTCTGTCTTTCTCAATCTGTCTTTCCATCACGCATTGATCCGACGCTGCAGGCGACTCGCTGCTCAAACACAACGGGATGAAATTCACCACTAAGGACAAGGACAACGACCACTCTGAGAATAACTGCGCGTCCTTCTACCACGGCGCCTGGTGGTACCGCAACTGCCACACCTCCAACCTCAACGGACAGTACCTGCGCGGCCAACACACCTCGTATGCCGACGGCATCGAGTGGTCGTCCTGGACGGGTTGGCAGTATTCGCTGAAGTTCTCCGAGATGAAGATTAAGCCAACCAAGGAGGAGAATAAATGAGTGAGAACTAGAGAACTTGACTAGAAGAGCTCAAAGAGGGCTGTAGGTGTTAGAGACACTCAATGCAGAAACGCAAGAACTTTCCGGCGACAACCTCTTTCTCATGTTACTGTTTCTATTCATCTTTCAATTCCCGTTTTCCCACCATCTTGTAGTGTTTGTGCTAATGCCGAATGGGCCGATGTTTTTCTCTTGTTCTACTGTTCACATCTCTGAATATTATTACGAAACATTGCAGGTATTGTCAAAAATGTACTAATGAAAAAAAAAATCGATAGTCGTTATCTAAAAAAAAAATAAAAATAAAAACAAACAAAAAATACTTCTGTAGCTGTGAAATTTAGCAAGAACGTGTAGCTTTTCATAAAAATAAAGACTTTTAACTCTTCAGACATCCGACGGAGAGGCAGCTTGTCCTATGTTATTTTCGTTCAGTGCTTAATCAATAACTCGTAGTTAAACATGACAAGGTTGCTATTGGTGTGTCCAGCCCCTGCTGTAATATCTGGGAGGTAACTAGATTTTCCCACATGTCGAGTAAATATGTTATTGACCACCAGAGATGCTCAAAGAGAATATGTGTCACAGTGGTGGCTTTCAGAGTGATGGGCCAGTACAGGCGCATTTTTCACTCTGACAGGTCAGTCGGTGGAAGGTTTATCAATGGAGAAGCTGAACGTCTCTCAGAAAACACAATAACCCTTTGGTGTTACTGGCGGATAGAAGAGTGTTGGATTTTATCTTATGCACAGTAGGTCAGATTCACCTAAAATCACAATGAGATGGATTGACGGAGCTTTAAGGCTTAATCTTGGAGAAGATCTGAGAACTGAACTTTTTGTTGTTGTTGTTGTTGTCAGTCGGTGGAAGGTTTATCAATGGAGAAGCTGAACGTCTCTCAGAAAACACAATAACCCTTTGGTGTTACTGGCGGATAGAAGAGTGTTGGATTTTATCTTATGCACAGTAGGTCAGATTCACCTAAAATCACAATGAGATGGATTGAAGGAGCTTTAAGGCTTAATCTTGGAGAAGATCTGAGAACTGAACTTTTTCTTGTTGTTGTTGTTGTTGTTGTTGTGAACAGACTGACCCTTCTGGTTTAATTGTCAGATCATCCTGCTGATCATTTCAGTAGCTTATTTAGTAGCTCATTAGTTTGCCACCAGTATATGATCATGTATTAATTTAATGGCATTTGTTTCAGGTAAATTGTGAAGTTCTCAAAATCTTTTGCTTAAAGGAATAGTTTACCCTAAAATGCAAAGTGTCGAGATTTAAATTGCATTTAGGTATTTAAAGCACACATATTTTATAAAAGTATAACAAGTGTGTGTGTGTGTGTGTGTTTGTGTGTGTGTGTGTGTGTGTGTGTGAGTGATTCTTCAGTGACTCTTTCTGTACATTACATCGTTACACCAGTAGGTGGTGATAAAACACATTTTATCGTTATGAGTGAATCATTGAATCATTTACTCACCTGATTTGTTCATAAATATGCTGATTAATTCAGGAACAATAAAAAAAATACTCTTTATGAGCAAATTGCTGAATCATTTACTGATTTGTTCAAAATAATGAATCATTCAGAAAGTTTGTTGCCCAGAGAAGTGCAACGGTTCTGTTCTGACTTTGAATCTATTTTCATTGATGATGCAAAACTAAAGTACACTGAAAAAAATGTTTCATTCATCCAATTAAAACAATTTAGGGTAATGATTCACATCTATATTTTTTAACTTGAAAAATAAATAACTTGCCCTTAGGGAATGAAACATTTTTTTCAGTGTATTTGCCAATACAGTCTGAGAAAAATGTAAGTTGCTCAGTATTTTTGCATTATTTAACTGTTGTATAAAATCATGAGGGTGAGTGTAACTGATATCACTGATTTTTGGGTAAACTATTCTCAATGCTTCTCTATCTGATTGTAATTGTTTGCTTTTTTACATATGCCGAGTTGACTCACTAATTTCTTTCTTTCATTTAATGTATAGCACTGACAATGAACATATTACCTTTACATACAATCCACTTGCAATGTCCTTTTACCCACTTACATGTGTTTTATGTGTCTTTGTATTAGTTTTGATAACACAGTTTTGAACTTGTCAACCTGCTGTTTTATTTGTACACTAATGCCATTTATCCTGCGATATCCATGTTAACTGACCCAGTGTTTAGAATGTGAAAATCATCTTCATAACTTCATTTGTAGCTTTATATTTAATGTGTACATTGATTATACTGTCAAAGATGAACATTGTCTGCACTTTAAACAGCAACATCAAAATAGTCCTTTCGGTTTCGAAATGTTTTACAATCAGTTTTGTATCTATACTGGAAGGGATTTAAAAAAAAAAAAAAGTTTTATTAATTAAAGGATAACTAATCCCACAGAGCATTTTAAAAATGCAAAGCATTTCGATATCAACCTGCTTTATTGTTCACCCATGTTTCAATGGCCAATTTACAGAATATACTTCAATGCCAACCCCTACTGAAAAACCAATTCACCACCGTCAGAGAAGCTCAAAACTACAACAGAGCGAACAGCTGTCACAGCCCAACCAAACGGATGAGTTTTGATCAAGTTTGTGACACATTCTCGCTCAATAAAGTGAACCACAGGTGTTTCTGTGAGGTGAAATTGTTTAAGATGAACGTCTCAATGTAGATTGAGTTTCACGGTCAATTCTCTCTGGAAACCGTAGGAGGGCCAATAAAATACACCTCACCTCATCCCACCATGTTTTCCTGGCTCTCCGCAGGTATTTTAAAAGAAATGTTGTTCTTTTTGGGTATGAACCTGATAAATGTAAGATATGGACTGAGAATGGTTTTGTTGCGCCAAAGGAGAGAAAGTGCGACAGCTACTGCTTTTTTGAAATGACAGATTCTCAGTTCATGGCCCCAGTCGCTTTCTGTGAACTTCTTGGAACTCAGGAAACCCCTGCCGATGGCCTCTCAAACTACACCTGTCTGCTGACGGCGCTTGCCAGTCATCCATGTAAATAATTTAACCGTGAAATTGAGCATGTCTTGCGGTATAACAACTCCCCAGGATGACAAGAGGACGTTTTCCTTTCTCTACACATCCTGCCCTCCCTAACATCCCCAAAGCTACAAACCCATCCTTCTGACCAGCTATGAAAGTGAACGCAGATCTACTGTACACTATTAACATTTGGTATGCTCCGCTAAATTTTGGAAATTACGATGGACTTCCATTTTTAGGTCTTGTATTAGCAGTATTTTTTGTTGATCATTAAAATGTGTTCAGTGTGACATTTAATAAACATCCACAGTTTCTAACATACTCTCTTACAGTGTGACTGGGGCATTTCCTCTGACAGAAGAAGTAGACTAATTCCACCTTAGCAGTTTGGGAGTGAATGTCAGCTGAGGTCAGCTCATTAGCTGGTAATTGACTAGGTAGGCCAAGAATAGATCCCTAGGTAAAGCTTTTTTTTATGTGAATATTGCAACTGTCACATTTGCCTTGCTTTTAAATATTTGCAAATGTGACAATCTCAGGCCTAGATGGAATAATGAGGCTCTCAAGAGATGGATGTTTCAAGAATGTCGTGAAAACGTATGACATTAAATGGAGGAATGGAGACATTTGCCTTTTTCTGTGATTCTCCTATGGAAAGGAAAATGGTTAATATCCAGCAATCATGCAACATTCATTTTCATAAGATGACAGCAGCCTTTTTTTTTTAACTTTTTTATTTCCTAACATAACTTCATAAATCCTGAAATATTTAAGACTGGATGTGAAACAGCTCAGACAGCTTTTTAGGAGTTTGCATTGTTTAAGGCACTTTTCATGAATTTTGTGTCCCATTACTTTAGAGCATTAGTGTTTGTATTTGATGTGCTTGATGTGTGGTTTGATGCGTGGCCAGTAAATGACACCACTAGGACCCTCTTACTGTGTATTATTTAGTTCACCCTCCTAACACGATTAATGGAAAGTCCCTAAGTAATAGAACAATAATTTTTGAAAAGGTTACTAGCTCTGCAAAAGGGACATTTCACACCAAATTCTATTAAAACTGAAGAACATCTGCCAATACACCTTGTAAAACAATAACAGCAAAAACTCTATTGCAACAACACTAAAAATCCAATATGCAAAGGTTTTACTCTTTCAATTCATTTTTCATCTGATCAAAGCTGCATTTATCTGATCAAAAATACAGTTAAAATTTTGAAATATTATTACATTTTAAAATAAGTGTTTTATATCATAATATATTTTAAAATGTAATTAATTCCTGTGATGCAAAGCTGAATTTTCAGCATCATTACTCCACTCTTCAGTGTCAATCCTTCAGAAATCATTCTAATATGCTGATTTGCTGCTCAGTTATTGTCAGTTATTATTGGTGCTCAGTTATTAATAATAGTTCTTATTATTATCGAATTTGAACACATTTTAAATGGTAATGTTTCACAATATTACTGTTTTTAATGTATCTTTATCAAATAAATTTAGCCTTGAAGCACTTCTTTCTTTCAATATGGTACTCACATTCATGACTATTTTTTTTGTGAGAATCAATCATGTATTATCTGTTATGTGTGGTGAAAGAGAATGACTCTGCAGGTTCTTCCAAGAACACAGTTGCAGTATCTTTGTTTCAGGAAGTGTTAGAATGATGTGCATCTACTCAGCAGAACTCAGGACCAAAACCAGTGAGGGATGCATTAGAAGCGAGAGGCGTGCTGATGGAACGCTTCAGATATTCAACACTCAGCAAGTCATAAACACATCTGGCTCCTTATCTCCACCCCCCAATATCCTCACGCCCATACTTGTCTTCCACCCAGACAGATTTACAGAAGATGCTGCCCGATACTTCGCCTCTCTGTTTCCAGCACACTAGATGCCATTTGGGGCCTCCCGACCAGCCCGATCGATAAGGCCCATCGCATTTTAAGCTTTTGCATCATGAGGTTTCTGTATTATTGAATTGCATCTTCTCACAGTGATTCATGAGGGTACAAACATCTTCTTTTTTCACAGAAACCTCTCGGGCCCCTCACCAGCAACCTGCTGCAGTCATTTTGATGCACTGGTCCCTCATGTGATTGCTGTTTAATGAAAAACAGGCCAGCATAGCCCTGCTCTCCTATTACAGAGTAATTGATTTGAGGTGAAGAATGTCCCTTGTAGAGGTGAATAGTTTTACCCAAGTCATTAATCCCTTCAACCAGATATTGAAACCCCCTGACTGCCCTCTTTAGCAAAAATGATCTCCCTTGCTCGCTTTCCCTCACACTCTAATCATCTAATCGGCTTCTGATTTGGCTCAGTTTAAGATTTATATGTATCATCTCATAATGTTCCACGGACCATCATTCACTATTTATCAGCAATTATCTGCGGCTTTCGAAATTAATATTTGGCAACGCATGACATTTACAGGTTTAAATGAAAAAAAAAAAAAAAAACTTCTGGAACCCGGTGTACAGTAAGGAAATGTGACCGTAAGCTCTATGACTAGTCTGACTGTGAAGTTTTTGTGACTTTCTATGCAGCTTACTATTTAAATGGGAGATTCCTGTCTGAGTAGTGAGCAAATGCAAGGGTCTTCTGAGGGTTTTTCCACTTTCTCTTGAAATGAAATTATGTTCATATGATTAACAAGACCAATTGTATATTCTTTAGGCGAGTGGATGGTGCTTAACTGAAGCATTAAGTCTTTAGGACAATTATGTAGTCAAATATTCCAAGTGTGAAGGTCAGAGATTCAAACATGATGAATTCTACAGAGAATAAATGACACAGCAAAGTGTCTCACTGCATGGTTTCTGTGTTATTCATCACC